GGGGGTCTCTGGAGGGGGCGGTCAGGGGACAAGTAGCAGGGAGGCTTAGATGGGGGTTGGGTCCCAGGGGGGTGGTTAGTGTGGGGGGGTCTCTGGAGGGGGCGGTCAGGGGACAAGTAGCAGGGAGGCTTAGATGGGGGTTGGGTCCCAGGGGGGTGGTTAGTGTGGGGGGGTCTCTGGAGGGACGGTCAGGGAAGAAGGAGCCCTCCATACAATTTTGCAACCCCAATGTGGCCCTCGGGCCAAAAAGTTTGCCCACGCCTGTTGTAAGGCAAGTTTTCTAATCATTTGATCATTCTCATGGCTCTTCTCTGACCCCTCCCCAATTTATCAAAATACTTCTTTAATTGTGGGCCCCAGATCTGGACACAGGATTCTAGCAGCAGTTGCACCAGTGTCCAATCCAGAGGTAAAATAACCTCTATACTCCTACTCGAGATTCCCGTTTATGCATCCCAGGATCCCATTAGCCATTTTGGCCACAGAGTCACACTGGGAGTTCATGTTCAGCTGCTTACCCACCGTGACCCCCAAATCTTCTGCAGAGTCAATGCTTCCCAGGATAGAGTCCCCCATCCTGTAAGTATGGCTGACATTCTTTTGTCTTGGATGTATACACTGACATTTAGCCATGTGAAAATGCATAATGTTTGCTTGCACCCAGTTTAGCAAACAATCCAGATCAGTCTGTGTTGGTGCCCTATCCTCTACATTACTTATCACTCCCCCAATTTCTGAGTTATCTGCAAACATATCAGTGATGATTTCATGTTTTCTTCCAGGGCATTGATTAAAAATGGGAAATTGCATAGGACAAGAACCGATCCCTGACCCCACAAAAACACACCTATTTGATGATGATTCCCCATTTACAATTACATCGTGAGACCTCTCATTTAGCCAGCTTTTAATCCATGTCAAGTGTGCCATGGTAATCTTCTATCATTCTAGTTTTTAATCAGCATGTGCGGTACCAAGTCAAATGCCTTCCAGAATTATAAGTGTATACTATTAACACTGTTACCTTTATCAACCAAAGTTGTAATCTGATCAAAAGGAGGCAAGGTCTGTGAGGGGATATCTTTTATTGGACCAATTTTATTGGTGAGAGAGACACGCTTTCGAGCCTACACAGAGCTCTTCTTCAGGTCTGGGAAAGGATATTGGGGTGTCACAGCTAAGTACAAGTGGAACAGGTTGTTTAGCATAGGTACTCAGTACATATTCCTCTCAAAACATCATCTGAAGCAAGCTCCGCACAGACCACGACCCACCAACTCACAGTAGCACCAGATCCTGCCAGGACAAAAGATGCAAAACTTGCAGAAATATCTACACTGCTACAATGATCAACACCCCCTCCCACAATGTAGCTTTCAAGATCTGTGGGTCCTACACATACGCACCACAATATGTGGTTTCTCTCATCCAGTACACTGAATGCTCCAATAACAACCAGGTGGGTGAAATGGGACAACCACCCTCGAATGAACTCACTCAGAAAAAAGATGAAAGGCAAAAACACCTTATCACCCGGGGGACGAACACTTTTCACAAGATGATCACTCCATCTCTGACCTCTCAGTCCTCATCCTCAAAGGAAACCTGCACAACACTTAGAAAAGATGAACTTTAAATTCATAACTTTACTAGACACTAAAAAAAAAATGAAGTGAATAAAGACACTGGATTCTTTGCTTATTACAACAATCTGTAACCCACTAAACCCCTTTTCCCAAACCTTTTCCTTCCTCTTTCTCCCCCTGTGACTGGAG